TTCGACCCATGATTATATTATAAGGTGATAGAAGCTTGACGACTAGAAATTCAACCTCTAGCATCTTGATGCTTGTACGCACTGGTAATACGATCTTACCTAGAGGGTATTCCAGATTGGTATTAAAGCCAAAAAGAGGGCAATCGACTGGCATGAGCTTTGCATCCTTAAAGCTGAGCTTGAGAAACTTTTTGTAGTACATTATCTCAGAGGTGCACCCTTAGTCGATTAGGATATGCCCAATGACAAACTTATTTCTCGATCATGATAGCGTCATCATGAGGCATGGTGACCCCTTCGAGATTGGCGTCAGAGAAGCTAATTTCGTTCGACAATTGTAGTCATTTGGCTAATATACTTGGCTCAGAGCTAGGTTAAGAGGATTGTTGCAACAGGATTGTATTCACCTTATTTGGTGGGGTATGTTGTATATAATGTGAATTACGCAGAGTGGAGGTGAATCGAGGCGTACGACAAGTACACCTAGTGGGTCAACCCTTTTTCAGAGGTATTCAGTTAGTCGACCACCCCAGACCTAGTCTTCCAAATGATCTTTCAGAGCGTAACATTTGTCGGTCATGTGCCCATGGTCTTTGTGATACTCACATCTCTGGTCTCTCTGCCTCATGTCAAGGGGCTTGGACATCTTAGTCGACCATTTGAAGAAAACTAGATGTTGGATTTTTGGCAGAATCTTATTGATCGGCTCAGACAGTTCTGTGTTGGATGTTGGATGTTGGATTTTTGAAAACTAGAATGCCTATTTTCCACTTGATATTGTTCACTCTATTGGCACAAATCTTGACGGTTCTCCTTTCTTGATCGGCCTCTTGGCTCTAGGCTCCTCTTTGGCGGGGTTCTATTTGGTGGTATGGTAGTCAACGACTGTACCAGGATAGCTGCTGTTGATTCCGCAGCTTACAGTCTAGTTTTGATGCTGTCGTTTGCACACCAAAATAAAATGAGTAAAATCGGTAGTAATTACTATTATGACGTATATCGATTGAGAACGCGTATTGAACCACACAGACTAGGGCAAGTTATTTCAGTTCAAAATTTCAATTTTGGAAATGAAAAGTGAGAAAATGAAACCTTAGGGTCTAGAATCCACTACTAACCTTGTAATTGGGGTTTATTGTATTGAGATTGTAGAATATCATTGAAAAAGGTACTACGATGTGTCTTGATCAGGACACATCACTTAGAAAGATTTTGTGTTTTGAAATTAGAAAGTCACGAATCATCTTCACTTAGCATAGACCGTTGCCATTAAACTAAACTAAACTACTGTTGATGCACGACTCGTCTTACTAGGTATGACTCGTCTAACAATTTCAATACACAAGCGGTGAAAATCATTTGTATAACGTGCATTCATGACTAGTGAACACATAATTTGATAAAACATTATTTGAACAAAAATCTAAGTTATACAATAGTACCCAAATCAATTAATGTTCTACAAAACTAAATACAAATTACCCCAATCACATGATTAGAGTTTCATCTTAACCCTAAGATATAGAAATTAGTTCCACATAATAATATTACAACCACTATAAAATATATACACTGTAAACCTTCCCACTCTTTTTTTTCTTATTTTCTTTTTCTCTATCGCAGAGCTTCAGTTCCACGCTCTCACACTTGAACTCTCCCTTTAGCTCCTCCTTGCCTCCTTTTATAGACCCAAACCTTCATAACCAAACAAAAATTATAATATTAATATAATATATATATATATATATATATTAAATGTTAATTGAGTGGATGCAAATGGGTGGCGTGGGTGCACAGTTAAATACTGTGCACTTTTTTAATATAATAATATTTAAGATGTATTATTTATATTAATTTTTGTACAAACACTCAAAATATATTAAAACACACAAAAATATGTAAAATTATAAAATAGTAAAAATAAATAGACTAATAAAATGTATTTTAGCGGGCCAAATATGCAACATTTAGGCTCCAATCAAGTTTTACCTCAGATTGCATCATTTTTCACTATACAATACTTTTCGACCCTCTTCGTTAGAGCCCAGATTGTCTTGGGGGGCCTTCGAGTCAATGAACTCCTAAGTGGGCTATCGGGATGCAATTTGTTGGAATGTGTCCCACACTACCTGAAGTTGCCTTATTTGTGCTGGTTATGAGGCTCCAGTTTACCTTTCCTTAAAAGTTAGATTTTAAGGAGAAGTATGGGCTGGGCTTTTCAATTCAATCCCATCTAGAAGACTATAACAACCCCGACCTGTGATTAACTGATTAGCCATGATTAATTATGTCAAATAAGTAAATAAAATGAAATCCCGAGTTAATTGCATATGATATGTGCTATATGAGTTTCTATCTGTTTATCGTAGGAATATTTGTTTTTGTTTTTGTTTTTTTTTTTTGTTTTGCAAATTGAAGGCTCTAGTGGCATCCGATCGCAAAATTGACTTGGTATATGTGTTAGTTGGAATTTTTAGAACATTGTGGTAAGTTGAATTGAAATTCAATTCGAAACCAAATAATTGGAATAAATTAATTGCAATTAGTTGTCTTTAACCCCCAACTAAATAAATGTCATTAAAGGAGCCTATATAAGGCTAATTTGGCCCCATTAGATCAATTTTGCACCATCAATTCATACTCCTAAAGCTCCAAACGTGAGGGAGAGTGAGAGCTTAGAGAGAGAGAGAGTGAATTCAAGAAGAAGAGAAGGAGAGTGTTGCTAGCAACCTAGAAGAGATTGACTTGGAAGCTCAAAGATATAACAAACTAGAACTCAATTGTCAACCTTAGGTGAGTAATTGGTTCCTAATCATTGTATGGAAGTTGTTAATGTAGAGAATTCAAGAGGATTAAGTTGAATTCAGCAAGTCTTGAGCTAATGAGTTAGTAGGAAGACCATATCATGCATGCATGTTCATTCCATCACAATTTGAGCTTGATTTCAAAGGATTCTCCTTTTGCATGTCTATGTTTTGACCTTCTTCTAAGAATTCATCATGTTCTTTAGTTGAACATCTCATTTGATCTTGTTTTGAAGGCTTTGAAGTTGAGAATTACTTGCATGTTAAGCTCATGTTATGGTTTAACATTCCAAGTTTGATTTCATACAATTGACATGCCTTTGGGCCTTAATTTTTGCAAAATGGTTTTGAATTCATGATGTTTTTCAAGTTTATGTATGTTTTCTTAAGTTTTGGGCCTAAAAGGATGTGAATTGTAGATTTGAAGTTGAGTTTTGGACTTGGGAGTGCAATCTGAAAATTCCAGAATTCGATCCCTCCGCTCGAGCCACAAACTTTATTTTCGCACTTCAGTTCGAGTGACCAAAAATTGGCTCGAGCATAAATTGCATGCTCTCAGAGGTTCACATGTTTACAGACTGCTCGAGCGATAAGAGTTGCACTCGAGCGAGTACCTGAGTCTCACGCTCGAGCGACCCTCGAGCATTTGTCGAGCGTGAAAATCACACAACCAGTACCTTTGTAAAGTTTGCAGACTGCTCGAGTAATCGAAGTTGCACTTGAGCGACAACTTATATTTTTGAACCTCTGCTTGAGCGAAGGAAGTTGCGCTCGAGCGGGGACCCTATTTCCAGCCAATTCACCTAAGTGTTGAACATCATAATTTGACATCCTCATTTCATCTTAGGCATTCTTAGGCCATAATTAAGACATAATAGTGAGGGTAAAACATAGAAACACACTAAGAATGAAACGTAATGAGTTAAGTATATTTTGAACGCGTGTTTCAAATGTGTATCTGTTATATTTTGTGTAGGTCATGTGCCGTAGGCTATCCGGTTGCCTGTTCTGTCTATCTGCTTGGGAGACATCTGTGAGTAATAACTTTGTAAAGCTGTATTTAATTATAAGTATTTTCTAAATGATATAAGATGATCTGTTTTTGAAATATTATTTTATATATGAATGAATGGTCGTCCAATGTTCTTGAAATGTATTCGTGGCATTCTTAGCTTCAGATGACATCTGTTATTTGTTCAGTTATGTCCTAATTATGGGTCAACTGTACGTCTCATGAGCCAACTGTTATGGATCCTTATGAATACGTCCCATTTATGGGTCAACTGTACGTCTCATGAGCCAACTGTACCGTCTCCGTGTACGTGAGTCAACTGTATACCTTTATGGTCGTCCCTTTATGGGTCAACTATTTCTGCTAGTGCTAACGAATGTACCACGTATGATTAACTGCCAATTCTGATTATGAATGTGATTCTAAATCTGCATCTGTTATGAACTAAGATTTCTGAACATGATTATCACTTCATTTCTGTTAATTATTGAATTATGTTTTCTATAACGTTATGGACAACATTCAATAAAACCTTTACCTTGTTATTATTCACCAGGCTTCCGCTCACTGTATTATTTATATATGTAGGTAAGCAGATGCGTGGCCAGGCTCAATGATGATCGCCTGGAATTCCGTTTTGTTAGCCACCCTTTGTGCCTCTCAAGGAGGTTTCGAATTAAGTCAAGTCAGAGTGGTCATGTTTTGTGAACCATGTTTAACTATTTTGTTTTGTGTTTTTGAGACCCTTGTACAACTCCTGTCTATCTGTATCTTGGGCTAAGTCCCACCTTTGTTTTACTTGTTTTTGTAGGTGACGTGAGACTACTGTATTATGACGTCACTTGTATGTATACATATATAAGTCTTATATTTTCTATCCCATGTATGTCTACACAGCTCTATGGACGTTGTATTTTGTGTAGTTGCTTCTGCAAGCCCCTTAATTATCTACTATTCTATACAGAGGCCTTTGGTAATCCAAGGATTACTAGCCGGTTACAACGCTAAACCGATAGGGGCGGGTTTGAGTCGTGAAAAAGTGGTATCAGAGCACATATTTTACCACACACAAGAGTCCATATGAGCTATATGATGTCCTAGAAAGGAATTAGGGACATTTCATTTGCATGTGTGAGTGTGTGATAATCTTTATAAATGTGGAAACTGAATTTGAACCTGAACAAATGAAATTGGAAGAAATGAACAAGATTATTCCTATGTTTATTATTACCTTGTCTCTCTATAGCATCATGAAAAATGCAAGAAGTAATGATGAAAGTGAAACCTTGGAGGCTCGCATGAGTCGTATGGAACAAACGCTTGCAGCCTTAACAGAAGCAATAATGCAACAACAGAGGCAACAACCTTTGCCCCCACTGCCTCCACCAGCACAAAATGAGCCAGATAACAATGATACAATTAACTTGACTCAGAAATTCATGAAAATGAAACCGCCAACTTTCCTCGGAGGTATTGAACCATTAAAAGCTGAAACATGGTTGTTGGAAATGGAGAAATTATTTGAAGTGTTTCCTTGTTCTGAGACTCAGAAGGTTCTCTTGGCCACCTATACTTTAAAAGATGAAGCCCGCCGATGGTGGTTGTTAATCCGAACGAACAATGGGAGTATGACATGGACTCAATTCAACAAGATCTTCTATGACAAGTATTTTCCCTAGTGTTTTTGAGATCGGAAAGTTTCAGAATTTCAGGAACTCAAGCAAGGCAACATGTTCGTAGCCAAGTACGAGGCTAAATTCACTGAATTGGCTCACTTTGCTCCTCACATGATAGATACAGACCACAAGAAAGCTCGAAAATTCGAAAGAGGATTGGACTTAGATGTATTTGATCAGGTAAGCGTCTTGAAGCTGCCCACATATGTAGACGTACTTGACAGAGCTCACATGGCTGAAGCCATTCTAGCTGCAAAGAAACAAACTAAAGCTCCAACAACTGAATGGAGAGGTAAAAGATCTGGACTCAGTTTCAAGAAGGGTCGTTCATTTGTTATGAATAAGAAACAAAATACGGGATCTTCTAGCAGCTCAAGTCAAAGCAGTGGGTGTGCACCTGTTTGTACTCAATGTGGGAGGAGACATAGAGGAGTTCGCCATCGGGTATCGGGTGCTTGTTTTCGGTATGGCAAGACGGGCCACATGATAAGAGATTGTCTAATCGGGTCAGAAAATGCCAACCGTCCTGTAGCAAGTTCCGGAGGATTTGTTTCTGGATCAAGAACAAATGTTAAAACTAATACGAGAAGAGAACCCTTGAGATAGGGTAGAGGTTTTTCACTTATACCTGGCGACGTGCATAATATTGAATTAGTGATGTCAGGTATAATTTCTATTTGTGCTCAGAATGCCTATGTGTTGATAGATTCTGGTTCCACTCATTCCTTTGTGTTGCATGCTTTTTCACGGAAATTAACTAGACCATTAGAACCTATGAACTGTTTATTATCTATGTTTGCATTATCTGGAGGTTTTATGATATGTGCTTATGTATATCCGGCATGTGATATTATGATTCGTGATATGACATTGTATGTTGATTTGCTACCTTTGAGCATTAATTATTTTGATTGTATTTTAGGAATGGATTGGTTGACGAAATATTGTGCTACTATTGATTGTGTGAGTACAGCTGTTGTGTTTAGACTACTTGGTATGCCCGAATTTGTTTTTACTGGAAATGGGATAGTTCCTCTGCCATACTTGATTTCATGTATGAAAATCACGAAATTGTTAAGAAAAGGTTGTCGGGGCTATTTGTGTTGTGTTGACTACATCTTTGGATAGTGCTAACATGGAAATAATTCCTGTGGTTTGTGAATTTCTTGATGTGTTCCCTAATGACCTATCTGGGGAGTTAATTGATAGGGAAGTTAAATTCACCATTGATGTAGTACTCGTGACACAACCAATTTCTAAAACCTCTTATAGAATGTCAACTTCAGAACTAAAAGAGTTGAAAACTCAACTCCAAGAACTCATAGACAAGAAATTCATCCGTCCAAGCACCTCACCTTGGGCAGCTCCAGTATTGTTTGTTAAAAAGAAAGACGGGTCTTTGAGGCTATGTATTGACTACCATGAGTTGAACAAAGTAACCGTGAAAAACAAATACCCTTTACCCTAAATAAATGACCTATTTGACCAACTGCAGGGAGCCTAAGTGTTCTCTAAGATAGATCTTAGATTCGGTTATCACCAATTAAAGGTCAAGACAGAAGATGTAGAGAAAATAACATTCAGAACTAGATATAGGCACCATGAATTTTTAGTCATGCCATTTGGGGTAACAAATGCACCCACAACCTTTATAGACCTGATGAACAGGGTTTTTAAACAATTTGTAGATGAGTTTATAGTCGTGTTTATTGATGATATTCTGATTTATTCCAAAAGCATGGAAGAGCATGAGAGTCATTTGAGAGTTGCTTTACAGATTTTGAGAGAAAGAAGTTATATGCCAAATTGTCCAAATGTGAATTCTGGCTTGACAATGTAGCATTTTGGGACATGTGATCAACAAGGAGGATGTATCAGTAGACCTATAGAAAATTAAAGCCATTGTCAACTGGCCAAGACCAACCAATGTGTCAGAAGTTAGAAGTTTCTTGGGGCTTGTTAGTTATTATAGAAGATTTGTGAAAGATTTCTCAAAACTTGCCATGCCATTGACACAGTTGACACAGAAAAATGTACCATTTGACTGGAATGATCAACGAGAGTTAGCCTTCCAAGAATTAAAAACTAGACTGTAACGACACTAATTCTGACTTTGCCTAATGGAACTGATGGGTTTCAGATTTATAGTGATGCCTTCTACAAAGGTTTGGGTTGTGTGTTGATTCAAAAGGGAAAGGTAATTGCTTATGCCTCTCAGTAACTTCATCCTCATGAAAAAAATTACTCGACTCATGATCTTGAACTGGCAGCCGTGTTGTTTGCTTTGAAAATTTGGCGCCATTATCTATACGAAGTAACTTGTGAAGTGTATACAGACCATAAAAGCTTAAAATATTTCTTTACCCAAAATGAACTGAACATGAGACAGAGAAGATGGTTAGAGTTGATTAAAGACTATGATTTGCAGATTTTATACCATCTAGGGAAAGCTAATACAGTGGCAGATGATCTGAGCTGAAAGTCAATGGGAAATTTGTCATGTTTGCTCACCGGTCAGAAAGAATTGCTATGTGATTTAGAGAAGAATGGGGTTGAAGTTGTATTGCGTGAACAAGGTGGAATCTTAGCTGCTATCTCTGCCCAGCCTGTAATTATTGAAGAAATTAGAGAGAAACAATTGCGAGATGAATTCTTGAAGAAGGTTATGGATGAATTTGACTCAAAACCAAGGCCCGGGTTTGTACTTAAGAACAATGTGTTGAGATTTCAGGGTCGCCTTTGTGTGCCAGATTGTTTTGATTTGAGGAATCGCATTATGATTGAAGCCCACAACTCCAAATTTTCCATCCAACCGGGGAATACAAAGATGTATCATGACTTGAAACAAAATTTTCTAGTGGCCTGGAATGAAGAAGTGTATTGCAGATTTTGTGACAAGATGTCTACATTGCCAACAAGTTAAAACCGAACATCAACGACCCGCTGGTTTGCTACAGCCACTCCCAATACTAGAATGGAAATGGAAGCATATTACCATGGACTTCGTTGTGGGATTGCCTCGCTCTTCTCGAGGTATAGATTCTATCTAGGTCATAGTTGACCGTTTGACTAAATCTGTTCATTTTGTGCCTGTTAAAACTTTTTATAATACGAACAAGTTAGCTAACATTTATGTGAATGAGATTGTGAGATTACACGGCGTGCCAGTAACTATTGTGTCTAATAGTGATCCTAAGTTTACTTCAAGATTCTGGCAGAGCCTACAGTAAGCTTTGGGAACTGAAGTAAGACTAAGTAGTGCTTATCACCCACAGACAGATGGCCAATCAGAAAGAACGATACAAACCTTGGAAGATATGTTCAGAATATGTACTCTCGATTTTCCAGGCAATTGGGAGACCTATCTACCGCTGGCTGAATTTGTGTATAACAACAGCTATCATTCAAGTATTAGGATGGCTCCGCATGAAGCTTTGTACGGTAGAAAATGTTGTTCACTGATCTGTTGGGCTGAGGTAGGTGACAGACCCTTGTTGGGCCTAGAACTTGTGCAGCAAACCACTGAAAACATGAAATTAATTCAACAGAGATTGAAAACTGTACAAAGCTGCCAAAAGAGTTATGCAGATATTCGAAGGCGAGATAGAAAATATGAAATCGGGGATCATATGTTCATAAAAGTGACTCCAATGAAAGGCCAGACACGGTTTGGGGTGAAAGGCAAGTTGGCACTGAGATATGTTGGACCATATGAGATTGTGGAGAAATCAACCTAGTGACGCATCGAGTAGCCTTACCACTAGTTATGGAACATATGCATAATGTCTTTCATGTCTCAATGTTATGGGATTACTTATGAGATTCACACCATGTTATTGAGCCGACATATATACTTTTAAAGGATGACTACACGTATGAAGAAAGACCAATACAGATTGTGAACCATCGAATTGAAAAGCTAAGGAACAAGGAAATACCGTTGGTAAAAGTTGATTGGCAAAACCACGGAGAGACCTATGCAACTTGGGAAACGGAGGAAGATATGATGAGGAGATACCTTGAATTGTTTCCTTTGGATCTAGTATTTTTCCAAAATGAAAGTAATTCGAGTTTGGAGGACCAAACTCTTGAAGGGGGAAAGACTGTAACAACCCCGACCTGTGATTAGCTCATTAACCATAATTAATTATGTCAAATAAGTAAATAAAATGAAATCCTGAGTTAATTGCATGTGATATGTGCTATATGAGTTTCTATTTGTTTATCGTAGGAATATCTGTTTCTGTATCTGTTTGTTTTACAAATTGAAGGCCCTAGTGCCATCCGATCGCGAAATTGACTTGGGATATGTGTTAGATAGGATTTTTAGAATATTGTGGTAAGTTGAATTGAAATTCAATTCGGAACCAAATAATTGGAATAAATTAATTGCAATTAGTTATCTTTAACCCCTAACTAAATAAATGTCATTAAGTGAGCCTACATAAGGCTAATTTGGCCCCATTAGATCAATTTTGCACCATCAATTCATACTCCTAAAGCTCCAAACGTGAGGGAGAGTGAGAGCTTAGAGAGAGAGTGAATTCAAGAAAAAGAGAAGGAGAGTGTTGCTAGTAACCTAGAAGAGATTAACTTGGAAGCTCAAAGATATAACAAGCTAGAACTCAATTGTCAACCTTAGGTGAGTAATTGGTTCCTAATCATTGTATGGAAGTTGTTAATGTAGAGAATTCAAGAGGATTAAGTTGAATTGAGCAAGTCTTGAGCTAATGAGTTAGTAGAAAGACCATATCATGCATGCATGCTCATTCCATCACAATTTGAGCTTGTTTTCAAAGGATTCTCCTTTTGCATGTCCATGTTTTGACCTTCTTCTAAGAATTCATCATGTTCTTGAGTTAAACATCTCATTTGATCTTGTTTTGAAGGCTTTGAAGTTGAGAATTACTTGCATGTTAAGCTCATGTTATGGTTTAACATTCCAAGTTTGATTTCATACAATTGACATGCCTTTAGGCCTTAATTTTTGCAAAATGGTTTTGAATTCATGATGTTTTTCAAGTTTATGTATGTTTTCTTAAGTTTTGGGCCTAAAAGGATGTGAATTGTAGATTTGAAGTTGAGTTTTGGACTTGGGAGTGTAATTTGGAAATTCCAGAATTTGATCCCTCTGCTCGAACGACTACTTTTATTTTCGCACTTCTGTTCGAGCAACCAAAAATTGGCTCGAACGTAAATTGCATGCTCTCAGAAGGTTCACATTTTTGCAGACCGCTCGAGCAACAAGAGTTGCGCTCGAGCGAGTACCTAAGTCTCACGCTCGAGTGAACCTCGAGCATTTGTCGAGCGTGAAAATCACACAACCAGTACCTTTGTAAAATTTACAGACCGCTTAAGCGATCGAAGTTGCGCTCGGGCGACAACTTATATTTTTGAACCTCCGCTTAAGCGAAGGAAGTTGCGCTCGAGCGAGGACCCTATTTTTAGCCAATTCGCCTAAGTGTTGAACAACATAATTTGACATCCTCATTTCATCTTAGGCATTCCTAGGCCATGATTAAGACATAATAGTGAGAGTAAAACATAGAAACAAACTAAGAATGAAACTTAATGAGTTAAGTATATTCTGAACGTGTGTTTCAAAT